CTGAGGGAGCAGGACCCTGGGGGGGGAGGGGGTCTACCGGAGGGGGACCTGGAGCAAGGAAGAGCGGCGGGGGCGGGGGAGGGGCAGAGCGGTAGGGGAAGAGACTGTAAAAGGGAGCCGAGTCGTCAAACGTGATGTCCTGAGAGGGGAAGACACGGCTCTGATACCATGTCAGAGTCCCAGTCACTAGACCACTGGGATAAAAGGGCTTGTTTGTGTAGCGATTAACCCTTCAGGCGAACGTGCCTGTAACCCCCCTAGGATCAATCGGGCATCCACAGTGCAGATCTACTGACACCCCTGCACACTGGGAGGCCCATTATTGAGCACAGCGGCAACGGCCTACATGTGCATACACCGGGATTCGAACCCGAGACCGCTCTGATACCATGTAAGAAGAATGAACGAGAATGAATGAACTAGCAAAGAGTTGGGTACAAGTACTTACCCTAATTGGGTTGTACCCTTTATGGGCTATCACACTATAGCCTACACAATATAAGCTATACATCATTTTGACAGCTCCACCCCGCGCGCCGCCCGTACCAGTGGTGTGGGCGTGTCTGAGGGAAGGGACAGACGGTGGATAGAAGGGCCCACATGAGGAAAGGCAGTATCAGTAAGCATCGTAGGTACGAATTTAGATGTCAAGTCTGAGGCACGGTGGGTAGGCAAGATAGAAGAGAAGTGCACGACCAGGGCGCGCAGTGCAGGTTCCATTCAAGCGGGTACACATGCATGAAGCAAGCAAGTCACTGGAATACGCAACACTGATGCTACTGCCCTCGGTGGGACTGCTATTGTACGCGGTGCACCTGGGCCCATCCAGCGCTCGAGGTCACCATTGGCAACGAACTCGTAGGCCAGCACGTTCTCCACGCGCATATGCACGTCGCCCCCCACTGCAAACCCCAGCAGGCGCACCAAATTGGGGTGGTGCTTCGTGGCCATCTGGGCCACATGCACAACAGAGGGTCATAGTGGTCACGGCATAACAGAGGGTCGTTTTGGTCACAGCACAACAGAGGGTCGTAGTGGTCACGGCACAACAGAGGTTCGTAGTGGTCACAGAACAACAGAGGGTCGTAGTGGTCACGGCACAACAGAGGGTCGTAGTGGTCACGGCACTGTACCACCTCACTAACTGCACCGTGCTATTTTTGTACCCTGAAATCTATCATGTTGTATCCATTAATTTCATTCATTTTATTCTCTTCTCATTTATTCGATCATGGTTTCTTAGTGCCCACAACTTGCAAAAATAATAATCCAGCGAGACTCTTCCACGCAATTAGTCCCACTCTCCCATCCCTCCACATCTATAAACACCCTCTCGCTCAGTCACCACTCACCACTACTCCAAGCACACCGCACCTCCCTCTTGAAGTCACTGGTGATGACTTTAGCGCGCTTCACGGCCCACAGCGTGCCATCGAGGGGCGACACCCCCTTGTACACGTCGCCGAAGCTGCCCGCGCCCAGCAGGTTGGCCTTGTCCCAGTCGTTGGTGGCGCGGGCGACCACGTGGAGAGGGAACCGCTGGAATGCCGCGGGGCCATTGGGTGCAGCTGCACAGGCGTTCAGGAGAGGGGGGGGAGGATGGGAGAGGGCATGCACATGGGTGAGGGCATGCACATGGGTGGACAGGGTTGAGGGCATGCACAGGGGTGCACAGGGGTGAAGGAACGGAGGGCGGGTGGGTAGGAGGGAGGGAGGGAGGGATGGGAGGAGAGAGAGGGGCTTCTTCTGCCATTCTAATCCACACTTGATTCTTCTCAGCAGCAGACAAGAGCGAGCGCTTGAGATGAGAAGAGAGAAATCTGTGGCTGGCTTGCCGCGGTGAGAGCTATTGAGGGGCCACCAAGCTGCGGCGAGGAGAAGCAGCAGCAGCAGAAGTGCCGCCGCCACGATGCCACCGATGGCTGCTGCGGACAGGCCCGCCTGGGCGGTCTGGGCGGTTGTTGTGGCGCTGACGTCGGGTGGCGGCGGCGGGGCTGGATGTTACATGCATGGCACGGCACAGCATCACATACACACAGGCATCACGCTGACGGGCCCACACACGCATGCACACACTCGCTCATACTCATTGACACTTGAATGCACGCGCACACATACACACACATACATGCACGCACACATACACACATATGCATGTACGCACACATACACACACATGCACGCACGCACACATGCGCACAGATTCACGCACACATGCACACAGATGCACTCACACATGCACACAGAAGCATGCACAGATGCACGCACACATGCGCACAGATGCACGCACATGGATGTTCATTGAGCATGATGCAGCAAGTGTGCGTGCAGAGGCACTTACTCAGGCATGAGTGATGCCGCATAGCAATTGGTCACACTTTCATGTGCACGCAGGGGCTGTTGAGGATCAAGCAGGGGCAGTAGTTGGGACTCCCAACTGTTTGTTATGCAAAGTACACATGCATGCATGAGCAATCGCTGGCCTTGTAAAGCAACGGCAGGACCGCCAACTAACATTGACTGGCAGAAACTGGCGTTGACTGGCATTGACCGGCATTGAGCGGCATTGACATGCATGACCCATCTGGAGCAGTGGCAGCAGCGGGACTAGAGCAGGTGGAGCAGAAGGAGGGGCAGTGGCGGCAGAAGGAGGAGTTGGGTGACTAAGAGACCACACAGGCGGAGGCGTCAGCGGGGCACACGAGTGACGTGCTGGACACCTGGCTGCTTGGTGGGGCACGTAGAGGGGGGGCAGTGGGAAGCAGGGGGTTGAGATAGAGTGGGAAGGGACAGGGAATGAGGTCGTGAAATGAGGTGAGTGAGAGGGTGGCTGCATGTGTGTGAGCATGGGTGAGCAGAGGTTGGCTTAGGTTGGCTGATGTTAGGCAGAGGTTACAATGATGCAGATTCCGAAGAGGCAAGGCAGAGAGCATCAGGTCACAGCGGCTGATCACGCAACACAAGAGAGCGCTCACAGGCAGGTGAGCGAGCACTCACAGGAAGGTGAGCACTCACAGGAAGGTGAGAACTCACAGGAAGGTGAGCACTCATAGGAAGGTGAGTTGCTGCAGGCCGCCAAGACCAGCAGGCAGTGACCCGGCAAACTTGTTGTGACTCACGTCGCTGCATGGCAGGCGAGTCAATGAAGTTGACAACGATGGTGATGGCCATAGTGGTACTGGTGGCGATGTTGGTGGTGATGGTGATGGCGATGGTGGTTTTGGTGGTGGTGATGGTGATGGCGATGGTGGTTTTGGTGGTGGCAATGGTGGTTTTGGTGGTGGCAATTGTGGTTTTGGTGGTGGCGATAGTGATGGCGATGGTGGCGATGGTGGCGGCGGCGGCGGCGGTGGTGGTGGTGGTGGTGGTGGTGGTGATGGTGATGATGGAAGTAGCAGCCAGCCAACGGAAGACTAGACACATGAGCAGATATTTAAACCCCTGTTCGTTCTGACTCGAAGTTGTTCCAATCGAGTTGAGCAGGGGTTTTTTGTTTTTCGCCCAAAAATTTTCGGGACGAACACGTTCGAGTGTTCAGGTTCAGCCCACAGTGTTTGACGCGAACACTTTGGGTTCGCGAGAAAAATCCAGCGCGTCACAGCTTGATGCGCTAGTTGGATCTAAAAGGGGGGCCCGACGATTGAGCTCATTCTTGAGCTCATTCTTGAGCTCATTCTTGAGCTCATTCTTGAGTTCAATTGTCCTTAGAGTCTAAGGATTACATTCCGCCAACTACACCCTAAATTCCACATTTAGATAGGAATGTTAGTTTGAAGACTAGATTAGACAAGGAAACGCTTTAAAATAGAGACTCGGAGCATGTTGGTTTAGGTTAGACTTTGACAAGGCAAAATTGGATACACACCAGATTTGCGCCAAGCCCTAGTATACCTCTTGTAGGGTTATAGTGAACATGAAGCACGCTTAGGATTCCTCCGTTTGGTGGCTAGACTACAATGGAATCCGAAAGGCTTGATTTAAGGTTGAGTAGCAACAAAGACAAGGCCATTCCAGGCCCATCCGGTCCAGTAACTGGACCTGGGATCGCAAGCCCGCTCGCACCTGCCGTACTCATAGGGGTGACACACCTAGGAGTCCCCACGTCACATGGGTACACAAGGAGCATGCGGAGGAGGAGGAGGAGGACGAGGAGGAAGAGGGGGAGTGAGAGGGCGGTGGCGACCGGGCTGTGGCGGAGGAGTCCGAGCACGTGGGTCGTGGCAAGGGGAAGGAGAAAGCCAAAGGGAAGGGGAAAGGCAAGGGGAAGGATTTAACAAAGCCAGGGGTGTGGGGTGGATGGGGTGGCCGTGTCGGTGGATGAGGGCCATCCACCGACTAAGAATTAGCCGGATAAGGGCCCAACCTAGGTTGGCGGGTCCAAATGTTTGGGCCATTGGGGGCAGATGAGAAGCCGAATGTAAGATGTGTGACACCCGTGTCTGTTGGTCAATGAGCACTACAACTCCAGGGGTTCGCCACATGCTTGCGAAGCACACGACACACCATGACGTTTAGGTCTGCTCGGCCCGCGCTGTTGATTGAGGAGGAGACCTTCCTGGGGGGGGGGGGGGGGGCTATAAAAGAGTTCCCAACTGGAAGATGAAGGGTTGACCACACGTGGCCTCGTGGCCCCACGTGCCAGTGGAGACCCGGAGCACGAAGGGCAAGGCAGGCGGCATAGAGCGCTTTGTGACAGTGAGGCTCAGTCGCATGAAGCTTCATGAGCGCTTTGTGACCGGCGACTTGCCCTTCGGCATCATCGGGCTGGATGCGCTGAGTAAGCATTCACCTGCTCTCCTATGCACTGGATTTAGGTGGGTGGCGCATGATGGTTGCTTGCGCTACATCTGTGTAGCCCAACCATGTCATGAACAGTTAGATGTACACTATGATCCTGCCAGTGAGAAATTGTCGCCCATGCTATACGTGACCCCATTGCCAACGTGTAGTCCTCCACCCTCCCTGTACATATATAGACCCCAATTCAAGGAGCTATTGACCTAGTTGAACAAAAAGCGGGCATGCCCCCCTCCCGCTATAGCGTGGCGTGCCCCCCTCCCGCTACAGCGTGGTGTGCCCCCCTCCATCTGCGCCAGCCCACCCCTCACCTCACATAGCCGGGACAGAGCTATGTACTGCTTCCCGAATCTGGTACCCGCGGGCTTGAGCACCTGTTTTCCCCCACCCTTCTTCATGAAAGCACGGGTGAAGTGGTGGTTGCGCACAAAGTTAATCATCATCCCCCCCTTCTCCACGAGCCCCTTCGCCCATCCCATCTTGCCCACATCTTCCATCATCATGTCCATGACATGCGTGGCACATGGCACATGCTCAATGTGCGGCCATGTGCTCCCAATCTTCCTGGCTTCCGATGCATAGTTGCTGCCGCCATCGGTGCAGACCGCCACCACATTCTCCGGCCCCACCTTATCAATGACGGGGCGGAGAAGGCTGGCGATGTACACCCTGGTCTTCGACTCCAAGTGGCAGTTGACGCCTGCTTGAAAACTGTGCCAGAGTCGTTGATAAGGAGCACGTTGGCCTGCGGGCGGCCACAACGGTCAGTCATCATGTCCGACGACACGGTGACCCCGTCCTACTTCCAGCTCGCAACAACGGGGGCGAGCGCGACCTCCATTTTCTGCCGCACCTTCTTCAAGCCCGCCCCTCCAATGAAGCGCCTCTTGGGGGGGACGTACCCGGTCCAGCGCGCGCAATGCACTGGACCGCGTAGCGGAAGACCAGGTCATACCGAGTTCGCCATCGGGGACGGCGGGTACTTAAATCGCGACTTTTTTGGTTCATACCGTTGCGAAGTGATGGGCAATGAGGGAACTTAGAGCTCTTTGAGAAAGGCTATCTGTGCGATTCAGAAAAGCTGGTGGTTGTTGAGGATTGTGAATGACATTCAGGCAAAGAGGCAACTCACTGGCCCTTGAGAGTGCCCACATGTGTGATCCATGCGGGCAGCGATCCACCCAATCTGTTGTACCCCACATCCCTATGAGCCATGCAGGAACGGATCCAGGCATGCAAGCAGGCAGGCAAGCAGGCAGGCAAGCAGGCACGCAAGCAGGCATGCAAGCAGGCACGCAAGTAGGCTCGCAAGCATGCACGCAAGCAGGCACGCCAGAAATCAAGCAGGTAAGAACACAAGCATGGAAGCAAGCAGGCATAATACGTACAGGGAAGGGGAGGTGTGGCCCATGCATGCTGAAGCCCAAGCTACAAGAGGATGCTGCATTGCACTTCATTCCTCTGATTTCACTTGCAGCACCTTCTAAAGCACCATCCTCGTGTCCCAACCCAAGCACCCATACACATTGGCTGGTATTTCCGTGGCTCACATGGTTATGTGATGCTATCATTTGCATTCACGTCTGTCTGCCTCCCATCATATGTTCATGCGTTGCATGCGTGGTGTGTGCAAGAATCTGTGTTTGACATGGTTTTGATTTTCTCAGAGTGTGTGAATGCTATTTGGCTTGGGCAGATATCTGAAGTGACTCCTCTGCTCAAGAGCTTTCCAACGAACCAAGAATCATTGCGATCGGAACAAGAACGCGAAAGATATGATCGTTCGAAGATTTGATTGTCGACGACTATGGGAATTTGTGGAGTGACTCAATATGGGGTATAGACTTTTGGGGTTGGGGAAATTCGTCACTCTACTGTAGATTGATGCCAAGTGGTTGGGAGAAGCCAAACCAGGTTGGCAAGTGTGGCCAAGTTGGGTGAGGTGGATGGCATGAGTTGGGAAAGTGACAAATGCCAAAGTTGGGGTGCCTATAGAGAGGGGAATTGTGTGGTATGGGGTTTCCTTGGTTGGGGACTCCCTTGGGACCTTCCCTCTCGTCCTCCTCATCCCCTCCTACCTGGTACAATTGCTACTCCAACTTTCTCGTGTGAACTTGTGATATAACTTGTGATTGAGTTAAGTTTCTATGGCAGCATACCATCTAGTGCGCCGAAGTTCATAACTCGAGTTATACTCCATTTTTTGATACGATTCGAATTGGGAAAGATAGCCACAGTTAAGGGCTACAATATATTCGAGTCTGAGATAATTCTAACTGTGCGATTTTTGTCGACGACGTTTCTTGTCGTGACGATGTTTCTGTCCAGAATTATAGTTGACGATTTTGAGATATTTCATCCCTTAATCTTCATAGACTCTGTCCTTAGTCTCTAACAAGTGGTATCAGAGCTGATTAAGGACTTTGTGAAGAGTCTACTGAGGTGTGAAGTGTCAGAATAGTGAAGGAAGGAATGACTGAACTAGCAAGCAGGTGGGTACAAGTAGGAAACCTAAAAGTGTTGTACCCTATATGAACTACCCCACTACAGCCTAGACAGACCATAGCATATAAGATTGACACACCCCCAGAGGCAAAGTGGGGGAGAACAAGAGGTCACAAGACCGGTCAAGAAAGGCAAAGCAAGCTCAGGGTGGATCACGACGTCACCACGCATTCTGAGCACAAGCAAATGGCCACAAGGCCAGTTCACATGCAGAGTTATATAAAGAAGAACAAGCAATACAGTGAACACAACCTAGCAAGTGTAAGCATGCATGTATATGTATAGAGATCACAGTACAAGAAGAGTCAAGAGGTAAGCAAGTGAGGCACAGTAGATACAAGGCCTAGAACTGTACAGAAACGCTGATGATCACAAGGCTGAAGTGCCTTGGTGAAAACATCAGCAGTGTTGGCCCGAGTGGCCACGTAAGCAAGACGAAGCTGACCACGCTGCTGCAACTCTCGAGCAAGGAAGTAGCGCAGAGCAATGTGCTTCGTTCTGTGCTCCAGTCTGTGCTCCTGACACAAGGCAATCATGGCCTTGTTGTCGACATACAGCACTGGAGGAGAACGAGGCGGCTCTCCCAGGTCGATCAGCAGGTAGGTGAGCCAGCGTAACTCCTGTGCAGCCATGGCCCTTGCGTAGATCTCAGCCTCACAACTGGAGCTGAGAACAGAAGACGAGCGGGTAGACCGCAAAGAGACAAAGCCGGAGCCAAGGCTGAAGGTGTAACCCTGTGACGACCGCTGCGTAGTCTAGTCGTCAGCCCAAGAAGCATCTGCGTGACCAGTAAGGACAACTCGAGCCCGTCCTCCAAGCACGAGCCCCATGCCCGACGTACTGCACAAGTAGCGCAAAACCCTCTTAGCTGCATCCATGTGCTCCTTCCTGTGTTTGCCAAGAGCGACATAGCGTGCTAGAATGCTAAGAGGGTAGGCAAGGTCAGGTCGAGTGCAGGTCATCAGGTACATGAGGCAGCCCACAAGCTCTGGATACGGGCCAGTCGGCTCTATGGACTCGTCCGAAGGTGGAGCTGAGAGCGAGTGACCGGTAGGCAGAGGAGTGGACTGTTGCAAGGAGTACGTGAAGCCGAAGCGCTGAAGGACAGGGTGCACCATGTGTGACTGAGTCAAGGTAATGGTGCGCTGTGCTCTGTCTCGGGTGATCCGCAAGCCAAGATAGCTTGTCAGCTCACCCAGGTCTGTGCACGTGTGTCTCTTCTGCAGCTCCGACTTCACGTGGGCGAGTGCCTCAGTGTCAACAGTAGCAAAGACCAAGTCGTCTACGTACACGAGAACGTAGAACGGCGGCAGAGTGGTGTCGGTGCGTAGAAACAGCGACGGGTCAGCAGTGGAAGGAGTCAACCCACGAGCAGCAAGAGTCGTCCTCAGTGTGTCGTGCCACTCACGGGGTGCCTGGCGGAGACCGTAGACTGGCCGCCGGAGGCTCCACTGGGTACCAGCAGGAAACGACCCAGTGAAGCCAGGTGGGCGGCGCAGCCAGATCTCCTCGTGCAGGCTGCCCTGTAGGAAGGCTGTGCTGAAGTCAAGAGAGTGTAACTCGTAGTCACGCTGAGCAACGACGTGCAGCAGCACCCAAAGAGTGTTCATCTTCGGGGTAGGGGAGAAGGTCTGGAAGAAGTCAACTCCCTGTCGCTGACTGAAGCCTCGTGCAACGTAACGCGCCTTGAAGACAGGCGGAGAACCCGGCGGCCACTTCACCCTGAAAATCCACATGCCACTGATGATGTTCGCCCCAGGTGGGGGAACCTCGTCGACGTAGGTGCCTGTGGACTTCCAGGAAGCCATCTCTGTGTCCATGGCTGTCTGCCACTGAGAGGAGTAGGGACCCTCTATCGCCTCTGCATAAGAGTGCGGGGTCGGGATGTCTGGTGCATCCGGGTGTTCCTCAGGGGCAAGCAGCATGGACACGAGATGAGGTACAGCAGCGGCAAAGCACTCAAACTCCTCATGTCTGACCTCAAGGACGTCCGTGCCAAGAGCACACTCACCCCCGACGGACGTAGGACAGACAGACGCAAACTCAGACTCAGCAACAAGACTAGCGGCGTAGTCTAGACGACAGGCGGCAGCAAAGTCAACAAGCTCAGCAACTAGAGCAGACGCAGCAGTGGACTCAAACAAAGGGTCTGTGACAACAGTGGCCAGAAAACGCGTGACAGTAGGACTAGCAGCACGAAGGGAGTCAGAGTCCGGGTCCGGACTGTCAGGAAATGAGGACGCAGGAGGAGACGGCAGAGGGACATGCTGTGGAGCAGTGGAAGGACGCAGAGTCATATAGTGAGTGCCGGGGACAGGAGGAGGACGCTGACGCGAAACACGTCGACCAGTGCGAACAGCGCGAACAGGCAACTCAGGACGAGACTCAGGTGATGCAGGACGAGACTCAGGCGATGCAGGACGAGACTCAGGCTCACGACGCTCCGTAAGACCTCTAGTCGGTCCAGAGTAAGGAGAAGGACCAGGCAGTGGAGAGGCTGGCTGTAACTGCGACTGTGCGAGGACAGGCGGTGGACTCAGTAAGGGAGGAGTAGGGCCAGTAGAAGGCGGGAGACCAAGAACCTACTGAAGGAGCGGAACGTAGTACGGCCGCGGCCGTGCAGCGCCTCCAGAAACAGCAGAGACAGCACCAGTACCCTCAGTTCCAGGGTCTCCAGCTACAACTCCTGCAGCACCACCAGCTCCAGTACCTCCCGCAGCTCCAACTCCAGCAGCAACTCCAGTAGCAACAGCTCCAGCACCTACAGCTCCAACTCTTGCAGCACCACCAGCCCTAGCAGCTCCAGTACCTCCAGTACGAGCACCTCCGGGACCAACTGCTCGAGCACCTCCAGCAGCTCCAACACCAGCAGGACCTCCAACAGTGCCAGTACCTCCAGCACCAGCACCTCCAGGACCAGCGGCTCCAGCAGCTCCAGCACCAGCAGCACCTCCAGCAGCTCCACCTCTAGAAGCACCTCCAGCAGCAGGCCCCGTAGCTCGAGCAACACGGCTACAGCGCTGAGCGTACCACTCACGTAGCCGCTGTGGAGAGAGGGGCTCCCGCCGTGACGGGACACCCGGAGGACCTCCAGACTCAGCACGCTCAGGCTCAGCACCCCCAGGCTCAGCACCCCCAGACTCAGCACCCCCAGGCTCAGCACCCCCAGGCCCCACACGCTCAGGCTGAGCACCCCCAGGCTCCGCACCCTCAGACTCAGCAACCCCTGGCTCAGCACCCCCAGGCCCCGCACCCGCAGGCTCGGCACCCCTAGCAGCATCAGAGTCGACAGCTACCTCGACAGGCTCAACAGGGTCTACCTGGGACACACCTGAGGGGGCAGGACCCTGAGGGGGGAGGGGGTCTACCGGAGGAGCACCTGGTGCTAGGAAGAGTGGCGGGGGGGGGGAGAGGGGCAGTGCGGTAGCGAAAGAGACAGTAGTAAGAT